ACGGGGTGAGCCATTCAGATTTTTAGGCTAGCGACGATTTCTGCTGTGTCGTTTGGAAAGACCACGAAATTGTTGCCTATCTTCATCATTTAGGCACTCCCTCGGCCTAAAATGTGCCAGAAACCTCAAAGTAGGCAGTATTTGCAAGCCGTTGCTAATGGTCCTCTTGACAGTCTAAACTGATTGGAGAACGAGGTCAAGCAGAGACCTTCATGGTCTTCATTACGTGTTGAAATAAGGCCAAATTAATAGTGAAGGCATTTCGTAAATGGTCATCTCCTGCCTCTCACAAACAAGACAGCTACCGATCTGACCGGGATGTGAGAATGAAAATTGATGACGCCCGCTCAGTTGCCTACCCTCCCAGAGCTAGTCTCGAGGGCAAATTGCTTTGATGCTCACTTGACAAATGTTGTCTCCGACTACACCCTCAGCGTCAGTGTCCTCGTCAGTCGGCCACCTCAAACCTGCATGCTCGCTTGTTGACGCCTGTCCTGTTCAGCTGGCGGGTCGGTTAATTGGCGTCCGGGCCAAGACAGACAGAAAAGAGGACTGCCTCTGCGAGGCGGAGCAGGCCTTTTAAGGAGTCCGAGAAGCGTTCTACCCGCCGCGAGATCAGATGTCAACCTCTGCGGACCGTGTCGTGCGGCCTGATTGCTCCCAGAGACGAGAGAAGAGTCCCTCTTGCGAGTGTAGTAGAAAAATGCCAATCGATTACTCTTGTGACGAACAAGGTATGACACACCGGCATGTGGATGGAAGAGGACTGATGGAGCACAGGTGGATAGGCCGAAAGACAGCCCCAAAGAGGAGGGTAGCGAGGGGAAATAAAGAGAAGCGCCATTCATGCATAGGGCAAGTTTAGAGGTACAGATGAGGCAAGAGAACCAGTGAAATGGGAGGCAAGAGAACAAGACAGAGGACGGGCAGGAGAAACAGGAAAAAGGCAGTAAAATGGACAAATTAATGAGGTGACAAAGCAGCAGGGCAAAAACTAGGCTGACAACTGGGCGTCTATAGACGGTCGGCCGGGTAGGCGGATAGATACAGTACATACGCTGGTTTAATGTGGACAATGAGCCAGCGAAATCGCCCTGTGGGCTGGGCTCACTCGGTTTGACAGCGTGACGAATGAACAGCCTGCAGACTTGCCCCCGGGGCCGTGGTGTTATCGTGGTTGTGGGGGTGGTCGTC